CGTGTCTTGCAAGCGAGGGCCATGAGTTTCCTGGGGGTCAGTGTTTCGACCTGTGGGTGGCGCCAATTTGGCTCAAGGGATTGTCTTTGTTGACATCTCGTGGAACATTCCCCAAAGTGCTTATCACATCCCGGGTTGTAGCTCCTTTCCTAGTACATGTGGAGCATTGAAATGACAGAGACTGAATGATTTGGCCGCCAGAATGTGATTTTTTTTTCGGTGAGAACGTGGAGGGAGGGGAGAATGCGCTTTATTAGAATATTCAACAACAACAACAACAACAACAACAACAATAATAATAATAATAATAATAATAATAATAATAATAATAATAATAATAATAATGATAATAATAATATCCACCATACAATTTTCTATTATGCACTAACAACCAACTTTCACTATCCTACATTCTTATATATGTTTGTATTGTTCGAAATAATATTACCAACACACCCCTGAAGATATGCCACTGACTGTAAGCAAATTGAGAGATCTATTTTAATGAAATACTTTTTTTCGATAGGAGAAAAGGTTGTATCTGGGCATCCAGTAAATGAGTGTTATAAGTGTAATTGTGAAAAATTAAATAATCTGATGTTTTCATCATCCGTCAAAGAACAAGTATCTACTATGCAAAAGAAACTAAGAATGCATACGATTTTGCAATTGTATTATTGGTTTATTTTTTACTAACAAGAAAAAGAAAAAAATTGAATTTTGTAAATTTTCAATTTGCACACTTCACAAAATGCGCGACTTAATTTGCTATCCTTAAGATTTTCGTAGAGATAAATCCTCTGAGGTCTTGACGTGACTGCACAATGTCACACTATGCTTAAATCAAATAAAATTATTTTTGCACGATTTGATAAGGGGATATAACAGATAAATGACCATGGATATGGGTAAAACAGTAATAAGATGGCAAATTAATGTATAATGAGAAATGCTCATTACGATGGTTAATGCTTCTTTTCTACCTTCTTACAAGAAAAATTCTCATTTTTGATTCGTGTGATAACAAAAAGAAACTCCATTGTTTTTTCTTATTCATAGCTTATCAAATGCCCTAGCACGTATCCACTGCTCTTGGACCTCTACACGTGATAATCGTTGCACTGCGAATAATGTAGGTATGCTGGATATGTCCATCGATCATTTTGGTCAGGGAAGTAAATAGCATCATAGGATGTTATAAAACTACTTCAATATCCTATAGCTGTGAGTACATTTACTAGTGTTTTAAAACATTAATGTTAATTGGTAGTAATTATGTTGAAAAATAAGCCTTAAATTATTAATAAATCAGTTAGTGAACTACAATATTGTATTACAATTGTAATTTGCCCCTTGGCAACATCCTGCAACTTGCCCCTTGCAGAATAAATTTGTTATTAAATATATTATTTAACAGTATGATTCACCGAAGAAAGAAATATTCCATCTTATGTACTGCACATACTGATTATTCCATATTCGACCAAATATCATGTCGTTCGTCATTCAGTTTTACGTTATAACGAATATTATTTCTGATTTTCTCTCACCATGAATAAAGAAATTTAAATACGTGTTGTAATGTAATTGAACAAAACTTACTCGTCAGACAGATTTTACAGTAAATATAACGATCATTTATTTCTACTGAAAATAATTTGTTCCATCTGAATAAATTGAGATAGTTGTTTCAATAACAAACAAAGCAAGTAATCCTACAAAAGAAAAGGCGTTACTGTAAAATTTAGAACGCGGCAACTCATTATGACGAGTTTATTATAGACGAGTATTTCATAGCATTAGGTTTTCTGATGCATATTACTCTTCAACTCTTCGAAGAAACGTTCCATGTAAACAATTCATGAGGTGCGTATTCTTTCGGATGCGTTAATGTTCATAGTGTTTGCTTACAAATTTACAATGGATAAATCTATTCAATGTGATATAATTTCACGATTCACATAGACCAGGAAAACAAAAGCTAAAAATGAAATGGGTAAATATTTTTAAATACGATGCAACAATTCGCTTTGGACACACTACTTGAGCACACGTTTATTCGACGGATCCTGTATCAAAGTGCCGGTGCGCTGGCAAGGCGGTGAGGAGTCCCAACTGAGGACCTGAGGTTACGTGCGCGGAAGGTCGGCGCGATCTGAGGGATGTTATGTTGTGATCGTGGTCGGGCCGAGCGGGCAGAGGTGGGGGTGAGTGGAGGGGAGCGTGAGCTGGGGAAGGGGGCCTCTCACGCTGGCATACGCGCTTTGTTTTGTGTGCTCATGCTCGCAGAGTGGCCTATAGATACTTGGCGTTATCCCTCCCTCTTCCAACCCGCGCACGCGCACGCCAAGCGGAAGCCCCAGCACGGCCCCAGCGTATAAAAGATGCAGCACATGGTCAGGCAACGTCAGTTGTTATTTGACATTCTGCCTGTGCATAGAGCTATGCTTAAAGTGATTCACGTTTTCTTACAAGTAGTGAACTTAAACCCGTCCTCTGACACACATCATTGGACTTGTTACTGTTTGATGAAGCTGAATCTCAGCTATTATTACACAAGATACACGGTAAACTAGCAGTGGAGAATAGTGAATGGCGAAAATATCTCGCTACCTCAAGTATTCTTTTAGTAGTGATTCCTCCTGTTATAAGCTAGTCTTTTTTTAGTGGTTAGCAAGAAAATGACATCTTTCATCATGAAGAGGTAAGAAATTAATTTGGTTGTTTAATACTCAGACATATTAATTCCGCGATTTCTGCAGCTTCTTTGTAAACTTGTACGTTCGTGAATTTTTTCTCCAGAAAGTTCGTTGTATCTGTTTTAGTGTCATCTAATTTATAATAACAGAAACATTTATTTTTAATAATCGTGTTTCGATGATAATATTAATGCCCAAAACACTGCCAAATAAATTATAATTAAAGCATTCTGATCGTTAACAAAAATACTTATAAAGTTTAATATCGAAATGCATATATATATTTGGTCCTCAAAGTAACAAGATCATATAAATCTACCAACAGTCAGGAACTAGTTGTAGGTGAAACAGTATCTTTGCAAAGTGAAAATATACTTTCATTTTACCTAATGAACTACTTTAGTTATTACTTTCACTCTTTTTTATGAATGAGTAAATCACGTTTCGAGTTTGTCATTTCTAAATGCGAATAGTAGTTATCCCCAATGATCAAAAATATGTATAAAATTAGCAAGATGGTTTATTGTTCGTAATAGATTAATTTGTATCGGTTAAAGTTTATCACAGCTGTTCTTCGGTGTATAAAGTTTGTTCTGAGAACAAAATTAGGACACTCGCAACAATGGGTTATTATATGTTCGAACCGATGAGCGACTCGAGCTTCCCGCATTTTCGTGACCTATCAGCAATTCCTACGACATAAACCATTCCAAACAACGTAAAAGCGTAGTCAAATCTCGGCCCGTCATTGGTGGATCCTATTGATGTAATTGTTTCCTTTGTGTTATAGTTTATTTTTGTTTGTAATGTCTAGTGTATCTAATAAGAAAAAATCCTAATAAAGACTTGTAGACGTCTATCAACATGTTTCAAAATCGTCGTTTGTTCCACACAATAAGTAATAATGATAACCAACACCGTGATCAAATGAAATTTGTATGTTATTTTATACACAGAATATATTTTCTCGTAATTATTGGTCAGTTCTTTGTTAAAGATAGTATTATTTATTTGTTCATTTTGTGTAATTTATGTAAGAATTTTTGAGTTTATGAAGTTATAAATGGTTGTTTAATACACTTTATAAACTTTTCACAGTAATGGCGCTCTGGATGTGGAAAGCAAGGCTTTGGTTGGGGGTACATCTGATAAAAAAGCCACCATCGTAGATGTGGAGAAAAATAAATCAGACAGCAAGAAGAATAGAGGAAGTGCATGGCGTCAGGTAAACTTCTTCGTAATGTGTATTATTAAAAAAATCCTTATCCCTGACTTTACTCAGAATTTGTTGGCTCACTGACAGCATAATTTTCATTTAGTTAATCATTTTTATGAGAAATACTTGGCAAGATTTGAACTCGATTTCTGATGCCTCAATTTGTGTTGCAATATCTTTTTTAGCTGCAGCATTACCAAATGAGGCTAAAAATATTAAACCATTAGCAGTATTCTAAACTGATGGAACTGAAACTAACAGAACATTTTCAAATATTTCTCCATAACATTTCAATTATTCTGCCATAATTATATCAGATATTACTGTTCTATTGGTGATTTCATGATTTTTGATATTGTTATTTGAGATAATAAATATGACTCAGTGAACTGTACAATATTCTCAAATTTATGAAAAACTTTGAATCGATTGATTAAGAGAGCAATTTGGGTGCACTCTTACACAAATACATTCAAATATGCCTTTGCTAATATTTTTCTATTAAAAACCTGAAGTACATATTAAATTGGGGTATTTGAGTATGGATTCAAATAAATTGCAGTATTAATTTCAATTTGCAAATGAAATTCAAATTGCTTTACTTTGAAACTTTTTCTTTGAGCCCTGATCTACAATATTATTTTTCTTAACACTTCTTGTGCGTTTTCTAAAATGCTTTTCTTATCTTTGTTGTATTCAATAAATGACTACTTTATGCCAAATGTCTTAAGCTTAAATGATTTTATTGATCAAATATAATAGTGAAATCACAATATTTTTCAATTTTTATTATATTACTTATTATTCTACTTAACCCAATTTTCTAACTCAATTTCTATAACACATACAAACTTTATATATATTAAACATAAATATAATATGTGTTAGTGTGTGGGCATGGAAACAAATTTAAAATATTAATTGTTCATTTTATTTCAGGTTCTTGCAGCATTTGTTGCTAACATTGGCACCATCAATACTGGTTTGGTGTTTGGATTTGCAGCTGTCGCAAATCCCCAGTTACGAGAACCTGGTAGCTCCATTTCAGTTAATGAAGAACAAGCTTCGTGGATTGGTAATTGCATACTTTTTTGTATTTAATGTAAGTTTATAATAATGGATTATTGTAATTTAATTTTTTCTGTATTCTGTTTTACAGCTAGTTTATCATCTGTCACTACTCCAGTTGGATGCATTCTGAGTGGTTATCTTATGGATAGGATTGGGCGGAAATTAACTCTCATTCTAACAGAAATCCCTGCAATTCTTGGATTACTTCTCATATCTGCTGCTACTGATATAAATATGATATATGTTGGTCGCCTTCTTGTTGGGCTAGGTTCAGGAATGGTTGGAGCTCCTGCGCGGGTTTATACCTGTGAAGGTAATATTACATTCTAAGTGCTACTTTATCTATGGAAATAATAGTTTAGCTTAATTTATAACCTAATAATATAATATTATGCTCTTATTCACAGTAACACAACCCCATTTAAGAGGAATGCTTTCTGCATTGGCTTCAGTTGGAGTTTCTTTAGGTGTGTTGATTGAATATTCCTTAGGAGCTGTAATGGCTTGGTATGTAATGGCAGGGATAAGTGCACTTATACCTCTGCTGGCATTTATTCTCATTATACTTATGCCTGAATCTCCAAACTGGCTTCTGCAACGGGGACGAACTGAGGATGCAAGGGCAGCTCTTTGTAAATTCAGGTAAGTGGTTGACCACAATTATGAGTCAAAAAGTAAGATTTCATTTCTCTTGCTTAATATTTCATTAAATGTGCTCCACCGTGAAAAGAAAATGGGAAATAATTTTTACTGCTGAATTTGATCATTAATGGTCTTTTAGAATACAAAACAAAAGAATGAAAAAAATCATAAAATTCATAGATAACATATTTTCAAAAGATTTCTTATAATATCTAATAAATATGAACTATGAACTATATTGATAAAAGAATTATTTGGTCATCTTGGCCAAGTCCTCTTTCCAAAATCTTCAATATTTTTACACCCTTAAAACATGAAAAGTGTGTAAAATCATGGTAACAATTGTAATATTACATGTCTGTTTTTTCTCTTTTTTTATAGAGGTGGTAGTTGTGACGTCAACAAAGAATTAGATGATATGATGTGCTTTGCAGCCAAGAACAATGTAGTGAGATTGAAGGGGTTCAAGGAAACCATTCAAGCTTTACTTCAACCATCAACACTTAAACCATTTGGAATTCTCTTCCTTTATTTTATGATATATCAGTTTTCTGGTGTGAACACTATTACATTTTATGCTGTTGATGTTTTTCGAGTAAGTCATACTTATTTTGTACAATAACGAATAATATTATCATTCATCATCACATAGATTTGAAAATATGTTCAGTACATTTAATTCATGCTAACAAGCATGTAGATTCTTATATACAAGTGGCATAAAACTTCAAGTAATAATACTTTTCTACCTTTGTTTTAGATGTCTGGAACAGAAATGAATAGATTTTTAGCAACTGTGATATTAGGAGTGGTAAGATTGATCTCAACTATAATAGCCTGCATTTCTTTGAGACGTTGTGGCAGGCGACCTCTGACAATGATATCAGGTAATATAGCCAAACATTTCAATTATGTACCAAATAGTGCTACTGTATTCTTCTGGGTATCAAATTTCTCATTTCATTCAAGTTTGTTCGTGCATCTATTTGAGTAAACTGAAAATATTTGATCATAAGCACAAAATAGCACTTGTAGATCATACGAGACCATTTTATACATTGTATTAAAAAATATATTACTTTTTCTACACCATCCAAGCATATTGACCAAGTTGTAAATTTCTAATATGGAAAACATTTTTTCTTTACCATGCTGACGTATTTTTACCCCTGTTATACACAGCATAGATTGACCGTGAAATTGATATTATTGCAATGAAGGCAATAAACATGATATTAAATATATGAAGTGGTTCAACTTGATTTATCATAACATGCTTTTCATTTTGATACCTTAAATTCTTAAATCTTAGAATAAAATTGTACTTAGATATTATATTTATCTTTCCTGGACTTTCAATAAAATAATTTTAGCATAATTAATTACAGACTTTTCAATATGAAATATAATTCATTATATGTACAGAATATTATTTAATGTGGAAAATACATACATTTTTTGGCATATGATACTTGTTTTATCTTCTGTTTGCAATATTGGTTATTGCTCTTAATAAAATTTTAATATTTGTATGTATTAATTATTTTTGTTTTCTCATTTGCAGCAATTGGATGTGGTTTGACTATGGTTGGACTTGGAACATATTTGCACTTAAGAGAAGGCTGGGTGCTTAATGAAGTAGAGCCCGTAGCAACATGGTTTCCTGTAGCCTGCATTTTCATTTTTACAGTTGCGAGTACCATTGGGTTTTTGGTTGTCCCTTGGGTAATGATTGGAGAAGTATATCCTACACAAGTAAGCATACATTACTGTTCAATATAATAAGCCTAATTGAAAATAAATATATATTAATACAAAAATTATTTTATAGAATTATGTTCTTATAACAAGTAGGCCTATAAGAATTAGAAAGTAAGAATGTAATGTTATTACTTTTAAGTCACGTTAAGAGAGTTGTTCATTCATTTGATCTCCTTTGCAGGTTCGTGGCATTGCAGGGGGACTTACAACTTGCAGTGCTCATATCTTTGTATTTATTGTTGTGAAGACATTTCCAGAATTCAAGCACTTGTTAGGTATTCCTGGCACATTCTGGATGTATGGAGCCATATCACTGTTTGGGTCTTTGTTCTTCTTCTTCTGTCTTCCTGAGACAAAGGGGCGATCACTTCAAGAAATTGAAGATTATTTCTGTGGAAGAGTTAAAAACCTTGGTGAAAAGGTTCCGAGTTCTGCTAATATGCCTAAGGTGCTAGATATTCCAAAAGGGAAAGTTCTTCCATAAGGCAATTCCAGTTTTCATGGATCTTAAAATCAGTATAGTGTATGTTCTCATTTTTGTTGGACATGCAGAGGAAGATTGTTTTAGATATTTATAGGAACTGACAATATTTTTCTCTTAAGACTGAACGTGAGAGCATCACACATATGTTTTTGTGTGATATCTTCACCTACGATGGGTTAGTATGTGATGAACTCTTTAAATTGTCACTTGATGTTTGTCTCGATTTTATTGTTAGGACCACCATTGACTGTTCCATGTAGTAATCAAGTAACTGAAGTATATTGTTAAAATAAGTTATACAATAGTCTTAAAATATGTTGTCCTCCGATAACATTTTCAGACAGCAAATACATAGTTCTGAGTCTTTTTCCATAATTTGTTGTTAGAAAAATTATTGCATACCAGTTTAACAGGTGGCCTAATGAATTTTAAGTATTGTTACACTGTTTTTCAGTGAAAATTAGATATAAATGACTGTAACAATGCAAGAGTGGATGAAACAAGTGTGTTTATTTTGTAATGTGAATGGAATTTTTAAATATTATATTGTCTGAAATAAAATGACAATACTGTAATATTAAAATTTATTTTATTACTTCTGCCCACATTTTTGTTTTCTGTATCCTAAAAACCATTGGAATAGCAGTTCAAATATAATCAATAAATCTAAAAGATGGGATTTCACTCACTCACATTTGTAGTTCTACTGGACTTAACATTGAGAAATTCCACACAATCCTAGGAATTTTTTTCTTTTGATTTTTAATAAAATTATATTTTCAAATTAGAGAATTAAAAATAACTGAAATAATCATTTTATTTGTGAAACATAACAGAATAAACAAATTTTGAAAAAACTCCTTGGGAAACTGGAACTACAATAATTTCAAAACTTGTCAATCAGAATAAACTAAGAAAGACCGAACATAAATTTTACTCCTTTGGAAGTCACATGGGGTTTTGCATGGCAGTAGTTGCAAAGGGATGTACTATAGTTCCAGTGAATCATAGCAAATATTTACAATAATTTGAGCCTGGAAGTTTGACAAAATGCCTTTTTATTATGGTTAAGATTTTATGAATTTTAACAATAGAAATCAGTTAAATGGAGTTGTTTTAGTAGTTTTTCATTTTGTCTTTTTTGTCTATTTTAGTCCGTTTTTTATATTTTGCCTTTGCCATCATTATTTTGTTCCTGGCAATGATCTCAAGCAAGCTGGAAACATGAGCAAGGGACAACACGAAGAAACAGTTATATTTTGACTTTCTTTGGAAGCAAAGGCTCCATAGCCTGGTAGTGCTAAAAATGTAAATGACAAACAAATAGGAATCATACCAGTCGAGATGATTGTTTTTTTTCATTGATGACGACAAGCTTTGTTCACTGACGATAAATCATCCTACTTTTGAGTATGGCCTCTTACCTTTTATTGGACAGAGCTGTTTGTATGATATATAGGCTACCCTTCCTAGAGCTGGCAATTACACAAATGTGAAGAATGAAAAATATAATTTCATTTTCACTGTTGCCGTTTCAAGATTCAAAATAAAATCCGCAATATGGTATCAAAGAGACAGCATCACGAGTAAAACAAACCGGGTGGTCATTTGGAATCAAGATTACAAAGAAAAGATAGTTTCCCAACATATAAGTGCTAATGTAAATTGTAGAGTTAGAATAAACATGTGAATAAATTTAACTGTTAATTTTTAACATAATTCTTTTTTAAATACGATTTTCATTGATAGCATACCTTTTTAGTCAAATAAATGCTTTTTGTTTGCATATTTTAGATAAAGTAAATGCCTGAACTCTTGGGCTTTGTTAATTTTCAAATTATTTATTATTCATAATATTGTTACATTATAAAAATTAAATAACCACACTATATAATAAAAAAATTAGGAAGGAAGAAATTGGAAAATTATTCATTCATGCCATTTCAGTGTGCATTTCACTTTGATTAAGGGCTTTATTAGGCACTAGTATGATGTATTAATGAGAAACAAAATATTAATATAATATTTACTGTGTATTATTACAATCACAATAATACACGTTATAATCAAATTAACGAATCACAGTATTTTTGTATACCTATTATACTATTGTCAAAAATAGTTCTGATGAAGGTGAAATGAACACCAAAATTGTAGTATGATACAATAATTTTCTAATTTTATTCTATTGTCTGAATTCTTGACCTATTGTCAAGATATTGCAACAAATTTATAAGAAGAAGTTACAAAAAGAGAATTTCAATACTACTTCAGTATATGACACTGGTTGTGGTAGGCCGAAAGGGTACCGAAGTGTATTTTTAAAACAAACACAAAGAGTGGGAGAATTTTTTTTTTTTTTTTTTCCAAACTATTGTTCCACTGTTCTGCTATAGTTTCTCACATTTAGAAACTTCACATTTGTGTTATGGTAAAACAATGCAGTGTGCCTTAGTACTATTATGGGTACTTGAAGTTGCTTGGCATCACTTCTTTTCTTGTTGAAATGTATTGAGAGTAGCAAAAGAATAGAATCAACATTTTTTCTGATACTCAATAGAAACTGTCTGTGAATGCTTATACACCCCACTCTACTAAAAGATTAAAAAGATCAGTACATTGGGAAATAGACATGATTTAGTAGAAAAAAAAATTCTTGAAACAAATTTTGTTAATCACATGTTGCAATGTTACATGCAACTGTTGTCTATTCGATCACCTGATGGTCTGTTTGATCACCTGATTTTTAATGGAGTACATATGTTCATAATTTTCCTTTTCCATATGTAAGAACTAACATTCAAGAGAAGGTACAAGTTCTCCAACCAATAAGCTATCTTGTTAAAGTTATTTTTTAGTGTTGCCTGAAATCATCTGCAAAACTATTCCAGAATTAAGATCTCTCCAGTCACCCATATACAAGATGAGTAGAACCGAGCCCAAAACAAACCCCTGCTGATTTCATGAGTCACTGAATTCCCAAATGATAAGAATATTCCAATTCCCACCTGAAATATTTGTCCACTTGGGTGTTCTTGAATTCTACTAGGTAACTTGCTTCAGATGCTTACATGTTCAAGCTCGTCCAGCAGGTTTTTTTTTTAATTTTATTGAGGATTGTCATATTCCTTAGCATAGTCTACATATAATATGTTCATTGGGGATTCATCACTGCAGATCTCCCAGCAACAAAGTCATGCTGCTGTTGTAAAACAATATTTTGTGGTGTAGTCTTGAATCTTTTGAAGGATACATTTTTCAATGAGTTCCATTAGTTAAACTGATGGGTCTGTAATTTGTTAGCAATACTGTGTGAAATTAACATGACAAGATATGGTACTTCTCCTTCTCCAGGTTGCTGACCATAACTACCCCTCAGAATGACCAATTTTTCTTCGAACCTGAAACCCAAATTATACCCCTCTCTCTGACCATCGACCAGCCCCTTAACAACAATCTTCTTACATTACTCCTTTTAAAAGACCACTGTCAAGAAAATTGTAAGTATACAGTAGTACGCCAAATTTTTAGTATTTAAAATTAGAATTGTTAACATTATTAAAAGCATTTGGGTGATATGTCCTGTGCCTCAGCTTCATTCTCAAAGAAATTGAAGGCCAGGGAATTCTGGAAATGAAATAACAGTAAACTATGGCATTTGATATGGTGTCAGAGCTGCTTGCTCCACTTGAGTTTAATTTCTTTTAATGAGACAGCAGATATACCTTCCCTACCTTACCTTCCTGGAAGAACATCTGGTGTGGTAGAATATCAGTGTTGGAAGTTAGAGTTATTGACGTGCATGTAACATTTAAGTACGTAGGTTGCATCTAAAATCTGAGCCCAGCCCTCACCAAAGTCCCATTGCTTGAATTTTTAAAATTGTTTTTCATATATTGTTATTGTGAAGAAGTGTGAGAAAAGTGAAGTTTTGAGCATAGAAGACATAGAATGTGTTCTACCTACCAAATGACATATTGACTCTACAACAACAACAACAACAACAACAACAACAACAACAAAACAAAACAAAACAAAACAAAAAAAACAAAACAAAACAAAACAAAAAACAAAAACAAAAAAAAACAAAAAAAACAAAAAAACAAAAAAAACAAAAAAAAAAAACTATTGGAGGTACTAAAACTGAAAATTATTTATACATTTATTTTTAACCAAGAGAAGGAGGTATAAGTATTTTTTAATGCACTTAAAAAGAGTGTAAATAATTATTAAAAAGGCATTGATGATAAAAGGGTGATTGATGATAAAAAATAATTAAAAAAGACAAAATAATACCTTATTAAAAGGTATCATATCTCATAAATCAAGCTCATGTACTAAAAGCCTTTCATGAACATACAGTATAATAGGCACTTTCCGAAACATCTGATGTCTATTAATTTCTACAAAATAAGATTCCCCCTATTAAGGAAACCATCCCTTGAAACGACTACTTTGTCCCTGGAACCAAGAGCATTCACTTAATACAGATTTTACTGTATATGCGTTCCAGAAATGGGATGGTTTATACATCACCACAAGATGAAACGTCCATGTTTTTCACGAGATTTGAACCCACAAAAATGTGTGCCACGTACAGCAATTGCCTCTGAAGCTATCTAGGTCATGTGTGTTTTCCACAATTGTATTTGGTGAGCAAGTATTGGAAAAGTACTAAGTATAAAGTATAGTTAAGAATACAAAATTGAATTATGATGAATATTAAAGAACATAGTTATTTATGCACCAAGGGCGTTACACGAATTCTAATGATCAGGCGGTGAGAAAATGCCCAAGGACTTTTTGTCACTCGAGATCGTTAGAACCAGTTAATGCCTGTGGTACATGCTTAATTTTATTTTTTACTTAATTTTATTGATTTAGAATTACTTATTTTCTAATTAACTTTTTTAGCTTTATAAGCTAAAAAGCTTTTATCTAATAAACTTTAAAGCAACAATATTAAAAGTCCTTAAAGACTAATAGAGCAAGTGTTACATTCAATGTTTTTTGTTTATTCTAGTTTTTCTGGTAATTTAAAATAAATGTTTAACACTTTCATGAATTAAGATTTGTCATTACTCTCAATGTTCTGTAGCAAGGGTTGATACTACAGTGTCTTGGTACTGTTTTTAAATAAACATTGCAGTGTGTGGAAGGACCAAAAGAACAAGTGGGACAAAGCGGGGAAACGAGAACGAAGAGGGCAAAGGGTCAATAGGAACAAAATGGATAAAATTGGAAAAAGGGATGAAAAGTGACAAAATGGGGAAAGCGGGACAAATTAGGCAATGAAAACAAAAGGACAAATGGGATAAGGAGACAAAATAGAACGAGGAGACAATGGGACAATGAGACAAAATGGGACAATAAGACAAAATGAGACAATGGCACAAGGAGACAAAATGAGACAAGGAGGCAATGTGGGACAAGGAGACAAAATGGGACAAGGTGACAAAATGTGATAAAGAGACACGGTGACCAAATGGTGACCACAAGGTGACAAAATGGGACAAGATAACACGTTGGATATCGGAACAAAAGGAGCCAATATGACAAACGGAAAAGTGGGACAAAATGGACATGGGGAAAAGGGGCGGAATGCAAAAAAGGACAAGTGGGACAAAAGGGACATTTATCCACAGATTTATGAGCACTGGTGAAATTAAACTCGACACTCCTCTAAAATGGAATAAAATAGGGACACGTGTTAAATGATTTGACTTTGTTAA